ACGAGTGATCAGGGCACCGAATTACCCCTATAGGCGAAGTTTCGACCAAAAATAAAATTATGAGTTTTTGGGTCGTAATAGTTGAATAGTGCCTTTATCTTTATTGAGCCAAGCGTTACAAAGCACTAACTTGTTGAAACGGTCGACTTCTTCGCGCAGCTCGTCGAAATCACTCCACTTCAAGCACTCTTCCCAGCACTCCAAAAGGGCGTCGTTGAGAATCGGTTCCTTCGATGGTCGTATTCCTCCGTTTTTATTGAACTTCATTTTCATTATCTGAATGGTGAGTGTCGTTCGAAAGGAGAGTAGGAAGATTGCAGTGATCGCACATAGGCATGAAACAAAGCACAAGGAGCGAGGATCGCCTGCGATTGGCAGACTGATGACGACAGCCAATCACAGACGGTCTTCGGAGACGACTTAAACAAATTACTCTTTTTCAGCCTGTGTCAAATCTTGCGTATCAGTGTTCCACTAGCGAATCGCGGGATATAAGCGTTGCACCAACGAATCGAGCTGTGTACCAGCAGATCGAACGAAGTACTCCCTCTCGTTTGCTCTTTGACCCTCGCCACTTTCCCGAGCTCTCATGCCTTCTCGCTCTCTCATGGCCTCGTGAGCCCGGGAGAGTGGCGGCTGCCGAGGTTCGGAAGGAGTCCTGCCACCCTCGAACAGTGTCGAGTCGATGTTACATCCTTTGAACCGCTGTTACACAGCTCGATTTGCTGGTGCAACGCTCACATCAGTAGCGAGTGACTTAATTGAAGTCTGACACTGGCTTTAGCATCATACGCTGATGGTAAATCTGAAGCTAGGCGAATGACCTGGAGTGGAGTGATTCTATTCGTATTCGTACACACTTGAATGTTACCTTTTCGAGAGGTTTATTCACAGCGTGTGCGACGTGACACAGGATACCATTCATTGCGAAGTAAGCCTGAGGCAAACCGCAGCCCCTGAAAGTAATGGAAGAAGTTTTGTTCATTTGAAAATGGTAATGGGTTCAAAGTACAATGTCGTTGCGCGATGTCACGACAACTTTTAGGATAAATTTGCGCACCAAGTGAAGACGGAATGTCTCGCTGATGCTACCGGGAGCAAATGCTAGCCCGAGGGGAGGCCGTGCTTGCACCGCACACCCTCCCCGGCTTGAAACTGATTCCGAAGTGCCGGCATTGCGGTCCCTCAGCGAAAAAATCTGCACTCGAACTGCGCGCGCATACATTCCGCGACAGCCTCAGTGGCGGGGCGCGACATCGCGCGATGACCTGTTGGTACACAACCCACTGTACATGAATATTCTGTTATTGTCCTCAATAAGTCCTCAATATCGACTTTGAAAGCTACCTTACGAAAGTGTTGTTCGACTTATTCGTTTTCAATGCGTATCCTTCAGCTCTCATTACTGGAATGCTATAACATGTATCGGACAAGCCAGTTGACATGTAGGTAACCTGAATCGAGGAGCATATAATTAGTATAGCAGTAATTACAGTAACTATAAAAGAAAGGGGGTACCCATAGAAGGAATATTCTTTTTGAAATTCAGCCACATGCATTGTGGATTCAGGCGCACGCAGCGCGGGAGGAACTGCCTATGATTGTCCATCGCCAGCAGTCGACCAATCACAGGCGTAGTGGTCAAATTCTCTGCGTTTCCAAAACGACTGTCGCAGCTAGTAGAACAGAGAGTGACTCTGTATGTTGTAAGCTGTCCTAGAGAAGTGGCCGGACTTGTGACTTGAATAAGCCTCGCATGACTTGAAATACATGCACAAGTTTTGGGACACTCGGTAGCAACATTATCCTCACCACATTGAGATCGATAGAATAATCTCCCATCGAGAGACACTTTGAAACGCCAACGTAGCAAACCAGTCACATCGATGCCAACTCTAAATATCTCTAAGTACGTATGCGATTTGTAGAACTCAATCATTCGATCACTTTAGCTTCAAATTACAACTTCGAACCGTTATATCTTCCGCAGTCTCGTACTAATCACTCTCAAAACTAACCTGTACTTTACCATGGCTGGGTGACGTTTCCCAGTGATAAGCATATCTTCGGCCCTCTTTAGAACAACCTTGACTGGGCGGTTCAGCACTCGTGCTGCAAGTGCAGCCCAAGCTCCAGCTGGCGCACTTTGAGTGTATTTACCACCAAATGCACCGCCACCGCGTTCCACCTAAAGGTTGTAGAAAGAGAAAATGAGTAAACGATGCCTCAAAAAAGACCTTAAAAAATAACGACTACTATTAGTCACAAAGTGGAGTCACAAGTCACAGCTGGCTAAGGCGGGTACAAGCCTTCTTTCAACTGAAAGGGGGGTGTAGATTGAGAGCATACACTGTGTAGTACCAAAATTTGATAAGTCTTGCGAAGGAAATAAATAAAGAAGAGATGTTGTCATAGTATGCCATTTTTAGTGACTAGTTTGTCGTTTTTGCTCCGTTTCTCGTTTGCTCGTTTGGTAGGACTCATCAATAATGATTATTCTTTGACTTTTTCACTTTTGTACTTCTTAAACGAATTTTTCGGTGAACGTGTGGGTAGCAGGGCTTTTTTATGCGCAGTTTTGTCGAACGATGTACCAGCGAGTCGAACTAGGTACCAGCGACTCAATAGTGGCGGGACCCAACGTTTAAAGGAAGCCCGCCCTTTCAAACAGTGTCACGTGACAGTGGACGCTGTTTGAAAGTGGCGGGACTTTGCCGTGGACACTGTTTGAAAGTGGCGGGCTTCCTTTAAACGTTGGGTCCCGCCACTATTGAGTCGCTGGTACCTAGTTCGACTCGCTGGCGCAAAGTTCGATTCGCTGGCGCAACGCTCGGATCCAGCGATTCGCTAGCGAATCGCTCGATTCGCAAACTATGACATCGGCCTGAACGTTTTTCGCTGCGAGATCCTCAGAACCAACGCTGATCATGAGTGGACCTAATGGTCCCACAGTGAAAAATGTTTCGCGCTGTGAAATGCGAAAAAGTCGTTCCCTGTTCTATGGAACCATACCCCCTCTCACCCCCCCCCCTTCCTTGACCAAGTTAGCATCCACAATGGGTTGTAAAAATGATGAAATTTGTAAAACAGCTAGTGAATACCTGTCCCAACTTGGGAATCATTTCATGGAGGAAAACGAGATCTTCGTATAATTCTTGTTCGTAAAGTGACTGGATGTGATCAAACAATCGCATGTAGTCTGCAAAAGCACCACAGAATCATCTTTATAAATGTAAACAAAATGCGGTTCGAAAACGAGTTCAACAGGGTCCGTAGCCGCAGTATATGCAGCGTTGAAAGCAAGTCAGCACAGGAGCACTTTATGCACCAAGCCTGGGTAGCTCCATAGCCAAAAAATGAAGTGATATTCATGACCGAGGTGCTGGCTAGTCCCAGTAGGTGGAATTTGGGTTTCTTTTTGACTTTTTGGATCGGAGTAGCGTAGTGTGCAAACATTCACAAAATTTAAATGCAGCAGTCGCGATGGCTGAAGCGGAGACGAGTTGACATGCTATCATTGATGAGCATGGTCACTGGGAAAATTGGTTAAAAGGCATAGACAGGCGGTCGTTACGCCTTCCAACCACAGGTTTTCTTCCACCAATGGCGTGTTCAGCTCGTCTTCGCCTCTCAGCGATCGCGACCATTTTGTTCAACTACTGAGGTTAAAGTCTTCGGCTCAGCCAAGCAGAACGGTCGCACCATGAACACATGTCTAGTGCGGGTTAGTTTCGCTAGAGGGAACAACCTTTCCGCTTTTCGCAGCGCGACACCTTTTCGCTGCGGGAACCCCAGGTCCACTAATGATCAGAGGTGGACGGGGTTCCTGTAGCGAGAAAGCCTCGTACTGCGAAACGAACCCTTGCTTCCAGCGACCCACACCCACCTATTCCTCATTCGAGCACTGGCAAGTGAGGAGGTATCAAAGTGTTGCCGTGACTTCACTTGTCAGGGGTGCGCATACCCGAACAAGCAAAATACCCGAAGCAAGCCAGGGAGGGAAATATTCGTAAGCGTGGGGCACTCGCGGCTAATTCTGCAACAAAAAAAAACAAGAACGAGTTTTGAAAGTTCTAGAGGCGACTGTCTGGATTTTAGGTGGGCTTTGATTGCTGACTTCACTTCTCCTTCAAGAGTCTAGTTGTACGATCATTGATGTAACTCACGGCTCAGCTTAGAGGCGATGATTAGGGACCTTTGCTACCAAACTTACTACTAAGGCATCCACCTGGGATCGAATAATGAGTGATGAGAAAAACTATTCGAGAGTTGGTGGTCAGTGGAAGAATGATGGATGCGGTCTATATCGAATACGGCAAATTCAGAGGTGAATTTCTATTCTGGATTATTCATGAGTTCAATGCCCACGTCCCTCTCACGGCTACTTCGTTATATTCCTTCCCTTGCCTTTGTTTGCTGACTCAACTAGTATCCACTTGGAACGAGTCAGTCCCCAAAAACCTGTTTGTGTCGAAAGAGCTGTCCATTGTTGAAGATACATTCGACTTCGGTCCCCCGATAGAATAAATGGGTCGGCCCGAAATCCAAACCGCCGTTCATGGAATCCCAGACTTTCTTTCCGTTGTAATTTAGCCACGAGTGCGTGGGTGTGGTTCACTAGGACAGAAAGCGACTTTTTCGCGTTTCGCAGCGCGAAACATTTTCGCTGCGGGAACCTCGGGTCCACTATGATCAGCGGTGGACCTGAGGTTCCCGCAGCGGAAAATGTTTCGCGCTGCGAAACGCGAAAAAGTCGCTTCCTGTCCTAGTGAACCACACCCCGAGTCCGTCAAGGAGGAAGAAGCTCCGGGACGGATCCACTTCCATGAAATTAAATGGTTTCCGCTCGTGCCATCGCATCTGCCATACGACGCTCACGATTCTCTTCAACACGCTGCTTTTTCTCTAAGCGGGCCTCGTCGGACATGATCCATTCCTTCTTCATGCCAAACCAAAACCTAAACCATCTCCCTTTGTAAAACACAGAAGCTCTAACTTCGAAAGGCACGAAGAAATAATAATTCAAAGGGACAAATGGCGTGTGTGCTTTGACGATCAAGAAGTAAAAGCAAGCATAACGAATATTAACAAGATCTCATGAAAAGGAAGATGTAAGGTGCAAATACATTGAGCGGCTGCACAGTGCACACTCAAGCGGGACAAGCTATTAAAAGCACGAGTACATTCGAAAAATTTTTTTCAAAAACACTGGGAACAACTTACATCGAAACACTTGGCCAAGCGACACCGTTGGCAAAACCGTAGCGAAACGACGTTAATTTCGCACACTGCTTGATTAAACGAACAATGGCATTCGATCTCTCTGCTCTGACACGTATGAATTTCGCGAATGTTATATAGTAAATTATCCCTCACAACGTGATGTGAATTAGTACCGTACATTATTGCTTCGACCACAAAATGTTTATCATGATTATCATCAGAGATGTTCGTTGAATTATAGAAAAGAACGCCTTGTCCAATTAACTCAATCTGTATACAAAAGCAATCTAGTGAAGTGGATTCAAGAACATTTATTGACAACTGACTGAACACATAAAGAGCCATATGCAGATTAATAAATGTATGTTAAACTCTTGTTCGCGTCTAACCCTTAGAGCCGTGGGTAGATGCGTATTTCTGATTCACTGTTGTCTCCACTTGAGACGAAACTGAACTACTCTATTATTAGCTTATTCATGAGAGATTTCATTATAAATACTTAGTATCAGATCGCCAGAGTGAATCGATAAGCTATTAGCCCAACTATTTTAATGTAAATTCAATTAATTGAATATGTAAGCCATAGTGATGGCATCTTGGTTGCAATAACCTGCAGATTCATGAAATCCCCTTTTCCATCACAGAGAAAACTTGTTGAGATACATTCACATCGCGGGGCTTGATAACCCAGCGTGCTATCATTCCATATTGATAGATAGCACGACCGATGAAGAGATAGGAAATCAAGTGATCTTTAAAGAGCCGACGACTGCCCTCCCGACCGGTTGGTTCATCACACCTTTACGGTCGCGCCAATCGACCCACCGACGACAGCCACCACCCGCCAATAACGGATTGGTTCTCTAAATCGGTCTAGTAGCGCCAGATTGATGAGCAAAGACATCCGAGTTTGCTATCTATCGCACCAGCCGAAGCCTTGAATACAGATAAGCCCAGTGATGCTTCACTAATCCACTAGCCGTGACAGTTAAATTCGTGAATTATAGGGCAAACAAAAGAAGTTAGTGGAAAACTTTGGAAGAACTTGCGATATCTCACATTTGCAATTCAACAAAATACCTATTTCCCACCACATTTTCTCAGAAAACTCGCTGAAATCAAGTACGCAAACTGTTCAAATTTGTCGCTTCGAAAACTAGCCCGGTTTATGTTTAACTCGAAAAACCGAAGCAGAGCGAAGTTCCTAGGAGGAACTTGCTTTCGCTGATCGCCATAACTACGAATGACCTTAAATTTCGTGTTAGTTCAGAAGTTTATATATGAAAAATCGCTTATTTCAGTGCATAGAAAAGACACGACCCGCTGAGCAACGGTATACGGTAGAGTTCGAACCCGACGTCCACAAATTTACGAAGCATTCTGACTCGCCCTCCTCGAACGAAAAACGGCTTCTTATCGAGGGTTACTTCAAAACTCTCTCTCCCCTCAGAACTCCTAGTCAGGTAGCCTATAATTTTGCATGAGCGCTGCCCTTTCCCTACTACACAAGATGAGTAGGAACTTACGGGCAAAATTTGCTTGCATCCTTAAATCGTAACAGCAATGTATATCAATGTATATTAACGCATCAACGAAAACATTATGGAAACATAAATAACTGCAGCCGAAAATAGATCTCCCATGTAATTGAGAGAGATACTGTGCGCGACGAGACAGCCAGAAAGTTTTCGTGTTACCAACCACTGTTCTCTCGACCAACTATGTAACGCAGGAATTTGTTTACAAAACCTTCAAAATCTAAGAGTTCAGTCTGGCTTAATAACCTCTGCAATATTTTTTCCTTAATTAAAAACACCCTAGGAGCATAATCAAAGCCTGCTACCAGCCCGAAATAAAAGTAGTACAGCAAAAAAAGTGAAAGAATAATGGTGCTCTTGGGTAAAAGATCTTTCGATCGGAACGCATGCATAAAGAAACAGCAGCACAACGCAACACTCAGAGTTGGCAATGGTACATGCGATCAGGCGATTAAACGATTAGTCCATGTCTAGTTCGACGTGCCCACTCGCCCGCTGGCCTAATCGCTTACTGGCACAGTCGCCTAAGCGCATGTACAATCGCCAACTCTGGACGCTGCCTGAGAAATAACAACGTAAAGTAATAAAAGTGGTAATAGTGAATAAACGTTATGCCGAACCGGGAGATGTAGATCGACCGGGAGGAGAAATACCAAGGCCAACGGATGGTGGTGAGTGAGGATTGGAGTCGCTTCCATTCAGATATCTTATCCCCTCGGAGATTCCTGAAACAACCAGTGATCATCTTGAACAGTGAAATCAAGTATAATAAATAAGTCACGGTAAACAAGTAGTCATGGCTGGAGGGAGGAGGAAAAGGGGAATCCTTTGATGATTTTTTTAAGAAAAAAAAACTCGCAGCATGCTATTCCAATGAGATGTAAGAGTGAAGGTGCCAAATGGTTTCTCTGTGAGAGAAAAATAATGAAGCAAAACGGGCAAAAACCCGAGAAACGACACCCTTTTCTCTCCCCTGTTGATTTCAAATTTAGACAAGCTAAGCATATTAGCGCTTCAGTGACTGTTGCCCCAACTTCCACTTCTAATCATACAACTAACTGTTACTTCACATAAAGGCATCTTTACACGGGAAAAAAGCAGAAGTTAGTTGGTTTTGAAGAGAGGCCACTTAATATTGAAGATGGTTGCAGAAAAACACGCAACACATCCAGAGTACCGCATGTGTGGATTCGTTTGGACATTTTTGTGCACCTTACAACTGTTATGGAGTGCGCAGACGACGTAGCGTCTAATTGGACCCTTCCCTACCCTATCCACTACCAAACTTTCTTTCATGAACATCAATTTTCATCGCGACCTTTGCCTTCGAGTAACCTATAATTGATCAATGCGACTATGAACAGACTATAATAATAAGACAATAATAATACAGATATAAGAACATATAGGAATCTAGCGGCTCTTGTCTCTGGATATGGGGGAGCGGTCAACAGAATCGTCCGGGAGTGGCGCCGTCGCGCGCGGTTACTTGCGCGGCGTCGTAACGCGGCAGTTTTTCGATGGGCGCGGCAATAATTGACTTTGTCGATTGGAGCGATGAATTAGCTGCAGTCCACATTAATCAAGCAGACATCGAAGTCATTCAGCTTGTTGAGATACTTTTTCTTCCGAACAAGAAAAACAAAACGGGAGCAGGAAAAAGGTCCACTGAAAACCGAAATCACCAATGCATT